ATATCACTGTCTGTTTACTAATTTTATTAAGCATTGCATCTGCCTCAATTTTCTTCTTATTTATCTCACTGTTGCTTCCTCTGTTTACACTTTGTTCATTCTCCAATGACTTTGGTGTAGGCACAGTGAGGACGCCTGATGTTCAGGAAAGAGGAGAGTGACGTGTCAGTTTAACTAACAATTGCGGTTGTTAACTGAATTTAACACTCTCCGTGCTCGACACAAACCCATGGAGACCCTCAGTAGGTTTGCAGGGAGGTGCTGGGGGCCTCACAGACCAACAGATCTAAAAGGGAGACAAATGTTGACAGTGCCGTGTGAAGTACCTACTGTTGAAAATGCGCAGCCGAATTGGACAAAGACCTGAGGAAATGAAAGTGTTTGGAGTTGTGCCCAGCTGTTATTTTGTAGTCAATTGTCCTCAGACAAGACCTTCTTTCTTTAGGAAGCGAGTGAAGCCTTAGAGGAGTGCAAAAAAGCAATCACAACCAGGTTTCCATGGATGAAGGATTTATTGTGGACAGCTTGGGGAAATCCAGGCTGTTTTCTTTGAATAAGAGAAGACTTGAGAGATGGTCTGATAGTTGGTTCAAAACCATGAACAAAAAACCAAAATTGCTGGGGAAGCTCAGCAGGTCTGATAGCATCTATGGAGAGAAATCAGAGTTAATCAGATGCTAATCACTCAAATAAAAGCATAATACTGCGGATGCTGCAAATCTGAGACACTGCTGCACAAAATATGTTTCGTCATGCCATCTTAGGTCCTTTTCCCTTTTACATTGACGGTGCATATTCGCTGACGAGAACACATTTTTCTGATTTATTCTGTTCGAGCTTATTATGATTTTGAGCACAAAATAAAAACTGAAAGAACTGCAGATGATGTAAATCAGAAACAAAAAAAAAACCTGAAATTGCTGGAAATGCTCAGCAGGTCTGGTAGTATCTATGGAGAGATATCAGAGTTAATCAGATGCTAATAACTCAAGTAAAAGCAAAATACAGCAGATTCTGGAAATCTGAGACAGTCGCTGCAGAAAACAGTTTTTCGAGAGTTCTGAGGAGGAGTCACTCGACCCAAAACATTAACTCTGATTTGTCTCCACAGATGCCGCCAGACCTGCTGAGCTTTTCCAGCAATTTCTGTTTTTTTGTTTCTGATTTGCATCATCTGCAGTTCTTTCAGTTTTCATTTTGTGCTCAAAATCATAATAAGTTCGAACAGAATTAATCAGAAAAATATGTTCTCATCAGCGAATATGCACCATCAATGTAAAAGAGAAAAGGACCTGAGATGGCATGAGGAAGTTCCTACTATCTCATGGCATGAGGAAACATGTTTTGTGCAGCGGTGTCTCAGATTTGCAGCATCCACAGTATTTTGCTTTTATCTGAGCGACTGGGATCTGGAATAGACTGCCAGAGAATGTGGTGGAAGCAGATTCATAGGAGAATTAGATCATTATGCTGAGAGAAAACATTTAAATGGACAATTGTGAAGTGATTTTTTTTTTGGAAGGTCAACTACAGGTGGAAATTATACAGTGAATGGCAGAACACTTATGAGTATTGATATGCAGAGGGATCTGGGTGTGCAGGTCCACAGATCACTGAAGGTGGTAGTGCAGGTAGCTAAGGTAGTAAAAAAGGCCTTTTGTATGTTTGCCTTTCATTGGAAGGGGCACTGAGTATAAGGATAGACAAGTTATGTGCAGCTTTATAGAACTTTAGTCAGGCCACACTTGGAATATTGTGTACAGTTCTGGTCACCACACTACCAGAAGGATGTGGATGCTTTGGAGAGGGTACAGAAAAGGTTTACCAGGATGTTGCCTGGTGTGGGGGATTTTAGCTATGAAGAAAGGTTGGTTAAATTGGGTTTGTTTTGACTGGAACGCAGGAGGTTGAAGGGTGATCTGATAGAAGTTTATAAGATTGTGAATGGCATGGATAGAGTGAAAAGTATGAGGTTTTTCCCAGGATGGAGGGATCAATTACTAGGGGAGACAGGTTTAAGGTGCGAGGGGGGAGGTTTAGAAGAGATGTGGGAGGCACGTTTTTCACACAAAGTGGGGTAAGTGCCTGGAACGTGCTGCCAGAGGAGGGGGTGGAAGCAGACAGAATAGCAGCATTCAAGAAGCACCTGGACAAATGCATGAATAGGAAGGGAATAGAGGGATACAGATCCTGTAAGTGAAGACAGTTTTAGTATGGCCAGGCAAAACATGTTAGCACAGGCTTGGAGGGCCAAAGGGCCTGTTCCTGTGCTGTATTGTTCATTGTTTTTCTTTGTTCTTTGTTTAAAAACTGCTCAGAAAGGGCAAAGGAGAGCGACTAGCTGAGCTGCTCTTGTGGCGAGCTAGTACAGGAACAATGGGGCGAATGTCCTCCTCTGTGCTGTAACCATTCTGTGATTCAAACCCTGTTGTTCAAGGCATCCATGTGCTCTTCTATAAATAAGCAACACACGTACACATGTGCAGAGAAATAAACAAATGTACATGTACCAAGACACACATGTCCACACCACCCAGCAGGATTCAAAAAATTGTAACCCTTTGTTACCTCTACACTAAAAAAAATCCAAAAGGAAATTATTCAGTGAGCATTTCTGTTGCGATTTCAAACTGCCTCTATCATAAAAGTTGACTTCAATTTAAACCAGTGAACTCAAAACAAAGGGAAGATATTTTTATTGAATTGTTCCGCTGGTCTCACTTTTATAACATAAGATAAGTTGATATTTGTTGGTGATTTTTAATCCTCACTTCCTATAGGGTTTCCTTTCTTTTAAGCTAATGCTCACACACCTGGGCAGGGAGTAGAGATTTTACTGCAGAATGCACTCTCTGAAGACAATTTATTTTTCCATTACTGGATGTGGTTATTGCTGGCAAGGACAATGATCAGCATTCATCCCTGAAGGGGTTTGCTTGGCTATTTCAGATGGGCATTAAGAGTTGACTGTATAGAAGAAGGGCTAGGTAAAAATAGTATCCTCTCCCAAAGAGCAGGAGTGAATCAGGTGGATTTTCACAAAATTCCAATAGCTCTGGATTATTACAAATGAGGTGAACATTTTATTCCAGATGATGAAGCAATTAATTTTGATTCTCCCAGCTGCCATTGTAGGATTTGAAATTATGCCCCTGGAACTTCAGCCCATCAGGATTACTAGCCCACTGATATCACCAGTGCACCAGCATGCCCCATTAGCAATGGCAGTAACACTGAACCCCAGTCCATGAGGATATCAAGACCATTGTTCTCGCTTTTGCATGATGTGGCATCTGAAGGAATATCTGCACAAACGTTGCAGTGTCTTCATGGGCAATGTGTGGTCCTTCAGGCCAACATAAATTCCATTGAAACAACAGCTCAGAGACATCCGACCCAACCAATCCATCTTTTGTCGTTTGGTTTCTCGTCCACCTCAAGAGTTTGGGCTCATTCAGACTGGCTGAGGAGAATATCCTATGATTCCCTTTTGGATTTATAATCAAAAAGGGATTCAAGGGTTACAGGGAAAATGTAGGAATGTGGGGTTGAGAATAATCAGATCTGCCATGATTTTCATTGAATGGTGGAGCAGACTTGATGGGCTGAATGGCCTACTTCTGCTCCTATTTCTTAACAGTCTTAAGTGAAGATCAAGAACTTTCTTCAGGCTTAGGCTTCTTTTGAACTCTTGTTTATTGCATATTTATACTAACTATTACCGTACCTGAGTTATACCAGACTCTAAGCCGGCTGTTACATCATTGAGGGACTATTCTTTTCATGTGCTTCTCTCTGACAATCCTCCATGGACATCCAACTAACTCCGCCCATACTGTAATATTTATGCCCATTGGGTAACAGCTTTCAGATGTTATCACAAGGATGCTCCAGGGTCCAAAAGTCCTTACACAAGGCTATGCTGGTGTACACACACCACATTGGGTGGGGAGTGTGGGGGGGGGGGTGGGGAGTGGGGGGGGGAGTGTGCAATGTGTATTGTGGGGAATGGCAAAATACTAGTAATGGACTAGAAATCTAGAGGCCCAGGTTAATGCTTTGGGAAGCATGCTTTCACGGTAACTGGTGAAATATGAACTTGGTTAGTTTTTTTAAAAAAAAGCTAATCCTTGTGATAGTCTTCATGACAACCATCAAAGATTTTTGTAACAAACCCATCTGGTTCACTCTTGAAGCCATGTTGCTAACTCATAACTGCCGTCAGAAATGGCCAAGTAAACCATTAAGTTCAAGGGCAATTAGGGAAGGGCAGCAAATGCTGGCCTTGAAAGTGGCATTCATTTCCTATAAAAGTTTAAAGAGAAACTTAGGGCGGCACAGTGGCTCAGTGGTTAGCACTGCTACCTCGCAGCGCCAGGGGCCTGGGTTTGATTCCCCTCAGGCAACTATCTGTGTGGAGTTTGCACATCCTCCCCATGTCTGTGTGGGTTTCCTCCGGGTGCTCCGGTTTCCTCCCACAGTCCAAAGATGTGCAGGTTAGGTGGATTGGCCATGCTAAATTGCCTGTAGTGTTCAGGGATGTGTAGACTAGGTGGGTCTGGGTAGGATGCTCTGAGGGTCGGTGTGGACTTGTTGGGCCGAATGGCCTGTTCCCACACCGTAGGGATTCTGTTCTAATTAAAGACAAACAAAATTAACTTCCCGACATTGTCTCTCTATGTTCTTTTATTCCTCATTCCTTTTTGAGCTTTCTCTAAAATGTATTTGTAACTGATGGACCAATCTGTGTGGTCACGTGTTTTATTTTGGGGGGAAAAGGCAGAAAAGTGGATGTGAGGAATGTCGGATCAGCCATGAATGGCAAGGCAGACTCAGGGGCTGAATGGCCTCCTCCTGCTCCTGTTTCTTATTGTCCTGTCGAGTCTCTCATTCCCACCACAAAATGGTTGCCCCTGAATTCCTCAACTGGGGTGTATCGGGGTCGCGTCTAAGAGGATAGTTACGGCCATGCCTGTGTGTATATGCATTTGTTTCCCCAGGTCGCGATAGATTTCACAGCCTCGAATGGGGATCCAAGAAACAGCTGCTCCCTCCACTACATCCACCCATACCAGCCTAACGAATACCTGAAAGCTCTGGTAGCTGTGGGTGAGATCTGCCAGGACTATGACAGGTAAGATCAACACTGTGGTGTTGTTATTGCTAAGCTAGTCAGAGTCAAACCCAGCCACTCTGATGTTGCAGGGTGGCAGTACAGTGTTCACTGCCCAATCATAACTAAGGGCCATTACACCAGAAACTGACTCACATTTTTTTAAGAGGTCCCTATCTGTGGCCGGAAAAATAAAAGTTTCTTCATTTGAGGAAGAGGCTGTTTCAGTGAGAAAGCGAACCTTGGATTGGGAGTGACACTTTAGCCTTTTGCAACATTTACATCGCGCTGCCTCTGTCAATGAAAGAAGTGTCTGTTCGCTCACTGATATTGGGTTATAGATATTGCAACGTAAATCCTGCAGTAAAGCATCCCTTTAGAACATGACTGAAACACTCACTGCTCCGCTGCCAAACTCTTCTCTGTAAATCCTACAGCAATGCACTGTAGGATTCCAAATCTGACTTTATAAAGAGAAAGGCACTTGTTTCTTTCTTTTTGTGCAGGCTATCTGTCTTTCGATTCAAAATATGTATTGGGGGTGTGGGAAGGGGGATGTTTTAGAACAAGTTTGAATTTTCAGTAAAGGCATAGAGTCGTACAGCATGTAAATGGACCCTTCGGTCCAACTAGTCCATGCCGACCATAAGCCCAAACTAAAACCAGTCCCACCTACCTGCGCTTGGCTCATATCCTTCCAAACATTTCTCATTCATGTACTTATCCAAATCTCTTTTAAACGTTGCAACTGTACCTGCATCCACCTTTGAAATACACAGAAAAACCTTTCTTTATTTGATTGTGATGTTGGGATCCCAACCCAAAACAGATAATCCAGTGATAGTAGGAACTGCAGATGCTGGAGAATGTGAGATAACAAGGTGT